AAAAAAAAAAAAAAAAAAAAAAAAAAAAAAAAGAAGGAAGTCCTGGCACATCCTACCCCATGGGTGAGCCTTGAGGACGTTTTACTAAGTGAAATAATCCAGACACAAGGGGACAAATACTATTTGACCCCACGGATATGAGGTCCTCAGACATCACATTCATACAGCAGGATGGTGGCACTGGGGCTGGGGCGGGGGAGGGGAAGTGCTTGGTCAATGGGGACAGTTTCAGTTTGGGAAGATAAAAAGAGTTCTGAGATGGATGGTGGGGATGGCTGCACAATAATGTGAATGCACTTAATGTCACTACACTGTGCACTTAAAAATGGTTAAAGTGGTAAATTTTATGTTATATATATTTTCCCAGAATTTTGAAAACAAAAACTATAACTGTTAAATACACGCTGGGAATGGTGTGTAGGTTCCCACCATCCGGAAGGAGTAAGACCCATCACTCACGAGGTGCGGGGAGTGCTCATTAGTGCTGCCTCGTTGCTGGGAGAGATGAACCCTAGAATGAGAGCTGAACCAGTCCTGCCTAACAAAGCGAAAAGCAATCCTCAAAAGGGCCAAACTGTCTACAAGTAGCTTAACTATGTCCCAGAGCAAGGCTCACAAGTATTTATAAGACACAAAATTATCCAACACCCAACAATGTAAAATTTGGCAGCCAATCAAAACATCACCAGGCATACAAAGAAACACAAAACTGCAGAATAAGGAGAAAAATCAGTCACCAGAAACAGACCCAGAAATGATGCAGATGATAAAATTAACAGACAAGAACATTAAAACTATTTTTGTAACAATATTTCAGTATGTTCAAGGAGATCTAGGAATGCTTGAATACACTAAGTAGAGGCATGAACCGTAAAACAGGCCCACTCAAACTTCTGTAGATGGAAAATCTAATGTCCCGGATGAAAATCACACCGATGAGGTCAACAGCAAATTAGGCACTGCAGAAGAAGCAATTACTTAGCTACACATAGAAACTGCCCACAGTGACACAGAGAAGAGAAAACAAAAAGCTATGAACAATGAACAGAGCTTCAGTGAGATTTGCATCAAGCACAAGTGACCTCACCTTCAGAAACCAGACAAGCAGAGCACATAGGCCCACGGTGAGGAGGAGATGGGTTAACAGGCGTCAGAGAGGAGACCAATTAAATGGCAAATAGAAAAAATAACAGTGAAAACCAATCAAACCAAAAGTTGGTTCCTTGAGATCATTGAAGATTATAAGCCTCTAGCCAGGCTGACCAGAAAAAAAGGGAGAGAAGACACAAATCATCAGTATTAAGATTGAAACATTGCCACAGGTTCTACAGATGTTAAAAGAATAATAACAGAGCGTTATTATGCATAACTTCATACTACCTGACAATTTAGATTAAATAAACAAATTCCTTGAAATATACAAACTGCCAAAACTCACCTAGGAAGAAAGAGATAACATGACTAGTCCTGTACATACTGAAGAATCAAATTTGCAGTTGAAAACCTTTCGCCAAAGAGAGCCCCAGAAGCAGGGAATGGAGGTGCTGGGGGGCCCACAGGGGCCAGGCTCACCGGGTAGGGGCGGATCTGCTCACTCGATGGTGGTGACGACTTCACCAAAGCATGCACATGCCAAAGGTCATCAGAGCATCTGCTTCAAACATGTGCCCTGTCTTATACCTCTATAAACAGAAAAAAAAAGGACAGAGAGAAAGGTGGCCCCCAAAGACTGGAGGGCTCAAGGAAAGCTTTTCTGGACGTGTGCCCTCCCACCCGAGCCCCCTGAAGCCTCTCAGAACCATAGCACGTGCTCAGAGAGCCAGTCTCAGCCGGCACAGAGACCTCCCAGAGAGGACAGTCTGTTCACCCTTGGGGCCCCCCAAGTCACCAAGTGGGTAGAGAAAGTAAGCCCATCCTCTTCTCCACGGTGACCCTCAGGCTGCCAGGTCAGGAATTACACTCACTGTGCCTAGTGTAGGCCCTCAGGGGTTGCCCAAGAGGTAGGGGCCCAGACGGGGATGCTGAGGGCCAGAGGGGCTAATGGGCAGTTTCTGTTCTGGGCTCGGCACCCCTGGGAATTACAGGCCCGGGACATCTCCAACAGCCACAGGCTCAGGGTTCCCTTATTCTTTCGACCCTTTCCTCTTGCTGAGGTCTACCACTTAAGACAGTCATTCTCAGCCTTGGGCCTGTATCTGAATCACCTGGGAACTTGGAAGAGACGCAGATTCCAGGCCCATCCTACCCCACCGGCCAGCCTCAGGGTTCTCACTAACCCTCCCAGTGACTCAGCCTCACAGCACAGCTTGAACGGTGCTGACTCAGAATACTGGTTTAGCTACTTTATTAGAGACCAAAACAACTTTAAAAACTGGCTTAAAAAAAACAGGTTTATTTTTCTTGTGGAAAAGACAAGCTACTAAGTGGTCCAAGGAGCCAGGGTAGCAAGTTCTCCGAGTTGGTCCAGGAAAGGATGACCAGCTGTCCCAGTGTGCCCAGGACAGAGGGGGGTTCCGTGACAAGACCAAGAATGCCCAGGTGAACCTCACTGAGTCTGTCAGCCTCCACCAGGGATGCTCCGCCATGCCTGGGGTCGCCCTCCATCCGCACAGGCAGAGCGGGCTCAGCACCACGGTGGCCCAGCTCCTCTATGCAGGGGGACAGGGAAGCAGAGAGCAGTCAGTGTCCTCCAAGGGCAGGTGGAAGGTCACAGCGGCCTCTTCTGCTCACCTCACCATGGGCAGAGCCCCGTGGTGGCAGCCCAGGAAGCCATAAGTCTCTAACACTTGGGCCTTCTGTCGCCAGAGATTGGATACTGGGGACCCTAACATCCTCTGCAGAGGCAGGGGTGGGGAGGAGGGGCTGGGAGTGAGGGTGGTCAGGAGGACAGGGCTTGTCACTGTAGAGGAGGAGGTACCTGCCCTCCCAGAGGCCCCGTGTTGCCGAGGGGGCCTGTGTGAGATCCCGCACTGCCACCTGGGCGAGCGGGCCCTCCCCACACCCACCCGCCCCCGCGAGGCACCGCTGTCGCAGGCAAGTGCCGGGTCAGCCCCACGCCGGCCCTCTGGGGGGTGGGCCCCATGAGGTGGGCAGCACCTCCTCTCTGCAGGAGGAAGAGACCGGCACGCTGAGGGGTGAGCGGCTTGCCGAGACCACTGGCCGATCGGCAGCAGGTCTGGGATCTGAGTCTCAGTCTGTGCCAGGACGGGAGTGGGCAGAGGGGGATCCTCTGTCACTCCAACCCTTAATCCCTCCGACCTTGTCCCTCCCCATGGCCAGGGCCTCCAGCTGGACATGGGTAGCAGTCAGCAAGGGGGCCAGTTTTGGGGGAGGCTGGAAGCAAGCAGGAGATGGCTGGAATTGGGGCCCTGGGGACCAAGCCCTCTCCCCACCTGGCTCCTTGAGGCAGCAATAGCTCAAAGCAGAAGAGAGGGTGTGTGGTCTGGGAACCCAGCTCAGGGAGGTGGGAGACGCTCTGCCGGGTCCAGAAGGTGTCCCGTTCCTGGCTAGGGGAAGGCTGGGAGCGGGTGCTGGGCAACCACGGTGCCAGAGGCGGGGCTGAGCTTGCCCCACCACCACTACCCACAGCCATCCTCAGCTCCAGTGCTCTGGGGTTGGAAGGAAGCAGGTGAGACCACGATCAGTCCTGAGGGACAAAGGACGGCCAGCCGAGGACATGTGAAGCCTTCAACATGTTTATTTCCACCAGTCTGTGAAGTGAGCACCCACGCTATACAAAATGATCCCCAGGTACAAAGCCAATGCCCTATACAAGCCCACCTGAGCCCTGCAGGGGAGTCCCTCTCGGGGTCTGCCTGTTGGCACAGAACACGGTCCAATGGAATTGCCACCAAGTGGCCATGGAGGTCAGGGGGCAGTGTGGCTGCTAAGACACTGTGGACAACTCAGAGCACCGGGGACCCAGCCTGGCACTGCTGTGTGCCCGAGATGTGGCCACAGTTGAGTTTTCTGGGCAAAAGGGAAGGTGCTGGCCGGAGGGTGGACCCTCCTCCCCCGCAACATCTCCGTCAGCAGCCAGGGACCCTAGGTCCTCCTGCAGCGACAGCCCCCCACCTTCTCCCTGAGGTGCGGCCAGACCAGGGCCAGCCCATCTCCCACGCAGCAGCCTAGGTGGGAAGGGTGGGATCCCAGGCTCACACGCAGGCTTCCCCAAGCCCTCGCTGCGGGGGCTCCCAAGACACTCCACAGGGGAGCCTGGGGCCCGGGAGGGACGCTCTGGCCCCAGGCGCTCTGGCACACCGGGCCTGCCCGGGTTGCGGCCCCCCGACCTCCTCCAACCCCCGTTTGTGTCCTGAGGTCCTGCCCCGGCTACGGCAGCCCCGGCTCTCCCAGGGCGCCCGCCGCAGGTCCGGGCTGGGAATCCGGCGCAGTTTCGAGCAGGGCGGGCGCCCCGGGGGCGTCTCCAGGCCGGCGGCGCGCCCGCGCCCGGGTCCCGGCGCCCGCCCCTCCCCGGGCCCAGCGCGGTCCGCCGGGCACGGGCGCGCAGGCCTCGGCAGAAGCAGGGTGGCGCGCGGGGCCCGGGCGGGGGCTCCCCAGTGCCAAGCCCGCGCGGCCCGCCGCGCGGGGCCCTCGCGCCGTCGCCGTCCTGCCGCCGCCGCCGCCGCCGCCGCGCCCGCCGGGTCTAGTGGTCCTAAACATTTCACAATTGCGCTACAGAACTGTTGAACTGTTAAGAACCACTGGACCCGGCGCGCGAGTCCGCGGCCCGCCGCGCTGTGGAGAGAAAGCGCCGCCGCCCCGCGGGCCCGGCGCCCCGGCGGCGCGTCCCCTCGGCCCGCGTGGCCGGCGACCGGCCCGGGCGGCGGCGGCCAGCGCCGCGGCGCCTTTTAAGCAGGCGGCCGCCCTCCCCCGCCGCCGGAATGCGCCCGCGCCGCGCTGGCCCGACCGGTCTTTCCGGGCCGGGCGGCTCCCCGGCCGGTGGGTCGCGCGGCGGGTCGTCCGGGCCGGGGACCTGCTCGGCGCGCCCGCGCGGGGGTGGCCCTGACTCACCGGCCCCGAGCCCCGCCCGGCGCCCCGCCTGGGCCGCACCTGGCGTCCCGGGCCCCGCGCTCCAGGCCGGGGGCCGCCCGCGCGCAGTGTCGCCGGACCCGGCACCCAGGCCCACCTCGGGGAGCGGCGGCGGGGCTGCGGGGGACGCCGCCCGTGTCGGTGCCTGGGGGCGGCGGGCTCGCTCCCTGGGCGGGGGCGGGGGCCTGCGCGGGACACGCCCCGCCCCGGCCCCCCGACTTCAAAGGGAACGTCGTGGGAGGGGGAGCGGGGACAAAGAGAAAGTGAAACCGGAGGAGGGACCGAGCTCGCCGCTGGTTTCTGGTTCCCAGACGCCATCTCTTCCCGGAGGGTAAGGCGGCGGCCGGCACCCAGGGCCGCCGCGGGAGCCCCAGCCTGCCCACCCGCATGCCCCACTCAGGGGGCCCAGCGGCCTGCCCCTCGGCGGGGCACCGCGCCTCTGCGCTGCCCACTTGTCACCTGGAGATGGGGCCTGACCAGCCGTGTCAGGGATTCTGTTACAGAGCGCTGCCCACTGCAGGAAAATGGGGGCGAGTGGGAGCTCAAGCTTCGGGGAAGAGAGAGGTTTGGCGGGAGGTGGCCCCTAAAGTCCTCAGCCCACACCGAGCCCCCACTGTGGCTGCATGGGGTGGGCCATGACCACCCAACCAAGCCTCCACCCCCGGCCTTCAGGAGCCCCTGGTAGGTCCCAGGCCAGCGGACCTGTCACTCCACGAAGTCAATTGCAAAGATTTTATTTCCATTTTGCAGTTGAGGAAACCGAGGTTCACAGAGGACCATGACGTCCCGGAGGTTCGATAGCTCCCGGTGGGGGACCTGGGCCGCCCGCCCCGCACCTCTGCTGAGTCCCTGGGCCTGCGTGTCAGTGTGTTCGGTTAGGCGCGGGGGTTTGGGGGTCACAGGGCATGTGGCCAAGGGGAGGAGTTTGGGAATCTCTCCCCATTACCTCCACCCTCCTACCGCCCACCACACGGACCAGTATAGCCCACCTCTCCTGTCCCCAGTTCCTGTGCGCCCAGGCCAGCCTGGGCCCTCCCTACTACACACTCCACCCTGGGCAGGCTCCTCCTCCAGCAAAGGTGGGGCACTGTTTCCAGCACGGGAGGGACTGGTGAGACCCGGGAAGGAGGGGTGACAAGCACAAGCCCCTGTGGCTCCCACTTGCAGCAGGAGGTGTTGAGGTGTGACCAGAAAGGAGACTTCCTAGCATGAAAGAGAAACCGGGTCACCAGCAGCTGGCTCCCTCCTGGCCCCGCCCCACCCTGGGGGTCCCTGACTTCTGATGGAAAACACTGGCTAACCATAGATAGTGGCCTGAGCGAGAGACGGGGATGTTCCCCAGAGACAGCCCTGGGATGCTGGCGACAGGAGCTGGGCTCTTGGGAGCCCAGACCTCACCCAGAGTGAAGTGACTGGGTGTGAACGAGGCAGCTCTTCCTCAGGGAGGCTGGGCCCTCCGAGACCCCGTGGGCTCAGGGTGCACACGTTCGTCCAGCACTCGTGAGCCAAGCCTTGCTCACACAGCCCACGCCAGCCCCATGCCATGCTTCCCAGTGGCAGTTCAAGAGGTGAGGAGGCTGTCCCAGTGCCAGACGGGCTCACAGCCCGGCTCTGCCATGTGCCAACATGGAACCCTGAGCACAGGCCTGGGCCTCAGATCCTTCAGCTGTAAAATGGGAAGGAAGACACACCAGCACCCTCTTGCGGGCAGGTGAGCCTCCAGGGTCGCCATCTGTGTGGCCTTCGGAGTACAGAGGGCCAGCCCTGGACTCCCCGTTCCTCCGCAGTGATTCTCGGAGTTGCAGACTTCTGGGCCAGGTGGTGGCCTCTCTGCAGGCACACAAAATGGCCTTGAGAAAGCTTGCAGACATGTGCCTGCAGCTTTGCGCAGCTTTCTGCGACGTGTGCCCAGTCCAGGAGCTACTCATTGCAGGGCTCTGCACCCCTCAAACGTGCAGAGGGACCCAAGAATGGGGGACTGGCTGCCTGGCCCGGGTGGGGTGCTCCCTCCATCTGCCTGGCTGGCAGAAGCCTCTCCCCTGCCATCAATGACCCACCCAGGCAAAAGCCAGCTCAGCATGTGCCCTCCGTGGGACCCCCAGGATACAGCAGGCACGTCTGCCCTGGCAGGTTGGCACCTGCTCTGGGAGGGAGCTGCTCTGTGGGCTAAGGTGAGCCACCTGCAGCTTTCACAATCTGGGGCTCCCCAGGGCTGGGAGAAGTGCTGAAGTGCTGAGTGTGGTGCGGCAGTGGGTGACAGGCTCTGCCCTGTCCCTGTCCCCTGGAAGCAAAGCCGATGGGGGCAGGTCCCTCAGGGCAGCTGCTGTGTGCGAGAGGACATGGGTGGGGGTGTCCAGCATGGGGCCCAACAGACACCTCCCGTCCCCTCCACCAGACAGCTGTCTGACTGTCCCAGCCTCCCAGCACCAGCAGGGGCTTCCAGCTCAGCCCCGGGGCCCCTCCTGCCCCACATCCCCCACTCACAGGCCTGCATCAGGTGTGGGGCCGAGGCTCCCGGGACCTGCCATGCTTGTACAGCGTTACCTGGTTGTGCAAGGCCCGGGCACACCCGTGCTGGGGCGAGAATCTGGAAGGCTGCCAGCCATGGTGCCAGCCCAGGCCTGGGAACCAGCTGAGGAGCCTGGGGGCGCAGGTGGAACCACCCCCTGCCCAGCCCACCTGGAAGGGGCCTCAGCTACACGGTGGGTGCCCAAGCTGAGTCCTCTACGTCACACCTTTCTTTGGCCAGTGTCTGCTGAGCCCAGCTCTCCTGGGCCCCCAGCCCAAAGGCCAGATGGACAGGCTGGGGTGGGAGCCCTCCTGTGGGCATTTAGAGAGGTACCAAGGTAGTAGGGGACCTGGACAGAGGAGGCCCCCATGGCCCCTTGCATCCAGCAAGGAGGCGTCGGGCACTGTGCAGGGGCGGGAGGCCCCCGCCAGCACAGGCCAAGTCACATGCTGGGGCCCGAGCCCGGGGTGTGCTCCTGCCCCACTGGGCTGCTTAGTGTGGACAGAAAACCCACTAGGGGTCCAAATACCGGATTCAGTCCCAGCCAGGCCTCTGACAAGGCATGTGGCTGCCACGGGCCTTAGAGAGCCACATCCACTGGGCCTGGGCCTGCCCTGCCCACCCCACACCTGCCAGCTGCTGGACCACGTCCACCCACCGCCCGCCAGGGCTGCCACAACGAGGCTGCACAGGTCACCCCCCGTCCACCTGTCCAGGCGGGTGGCCTGGACAAGCCTGGCCCATAGCGGGTGGTGGGTCAGGGGCTACAGGTGCTGAGGGTCCAGAATGCCACAGAGGCTCCTGCGGAAAGCAGACAGTGACTGGGAGGTACCGGGAGGACTGGAGAGGCAGTCTGTTAGGAGAGAGATGGGCAGAAATGGAAGTGTGGGGGGCTCCCTGGAGGAGGTGACTCTGGCTTCAAAAGTGAAAAGGACTCAAACCAGAGGAGAGCTTGAGCAGGAGGCAGGAGGGAAGGGGCAGCCTGCCTCCCCTACCCCCACCCCCACCCCCGCCAGGCCTGCTGCCTCAGGAAGGATTAGCTGAGCGTCCATCACGCCAGGGTGCTGCAGACACCGCCCTTTGACCCAGAGCCTGGGCCCTGACTCCCACACAAATGCCCACAGTCCTGGGCCCATACAGATCCCCTGAAGCAAGGCTTTGGGGACTGGGAGATGTCCCCAGGGAGACTTTATTGCCACTCGGCCCGACAAAGACCTTCAGACTGTCTTGGAAGCAGCAGGGGGCACATTGCAGTGCCTGGGGGTGGGGTGCCTTCAGTCCCACAGGAGGGAATGGCTCCCACAGCAGCATGGCGGCTTCAGGTCAGACACCAGGCAGCACATCCTGCAAATGCATGTCTCTTGAGGGCCAGGTCGTGTGTGGGGCAGGGCAGACAGACAAGCCTAGGCACCTCAGCAGTGGGGCCCAGCCCTTCACACGGGAGGTACCCGGGGACCTGAGCAAGCCTGGCCAGCCTTGAGAGTCCTTAGAGGGCCAGGCAATGGACGGGGGAATGGCTTGCCCAGCCTGAGAGGCAGGCCGGTGGACCCAGCCCAACAGGTCCTGGGGGCAGGGAAGGGTGGGCAGGACTTGTTACAGAGGGATCTGAGAAGCTTCTGGCCATGGCTGGGGCACTGCAGTGCTGTGGTGGGGTGCCTCCCCAGCTGGCCTGACAGAACAGGAGGTCTGAGGCTGGCCCTTCCTACAGGAAGCCCTCCCTGACTGCCCCCATCACCCTCTGGGCACTTTTCAGCTTCCATTACCACAGGACTGACTTTGACCCACCTCGGCCTCTAGCTTTGTCCCCAGAACTGGGCCTTGGATATACTCCCTAAGCCAGGGTCCAGCTGCCAGCCCCGTGTGGGTGACGGGTGGGGAACTTACTGGGCTCGGGGCCTGAGCACCAGGCCCACGCTGGAGGCTCTGCAGTAGGCTCACCACTTCCAGGTTCCCAGCAGCCTCTGCCTAAGGGAGGAAGCACACGGGAAGGGGCTGCTTCAGGGGTGCTGACACCCCCCAGCAGGATACCCTCGTCCCCTCCCTGGCCAAGGACAGCAGCCTGTGTCCCCATGGCTCTGGGCCCGGAAACAGGTCTGGGCCAGGAAGGAGGACAGCCCCCCGGAGCTCCTGCACGTCAAGTGTGTCCACCAAGAGCGGAGGAGTCGGGCATTTGGGGAGGGGTGCAGCAGACGGAGCCAGTGGAGCTGTCACGGAGGCCTTCCTGGAGGAGGTGGCCTTGGAGAGGGCAATAGGGCACTGGTGGCACTCACAACGAGCAGGGCACTGCGACCGTCGTAGCCCGGCTGTCCCAGGTCAGCCCCTGCCTGCCACCACACCCGAAGGCCTTCAAGGTCCACTCTGGATGCCAGCCTGGAAGGGGAGGCGGTGCCATCAGGGCCTGCTGGAAGTCCCCCCATCTGCCCACCTCCCTGCCCAGGGGTGCCTGGGCTGCTTTTACAAAGCCAGCCCCAAGTAGCTGACCCAGCATGGGGCAGGGGTGCAGGAGTTGCTGGGGGCCTGTGGGCAGCTTGGAGCTGGCTCCGCCCAGTGGGGTGACTGTCTCAGATGAAGGGTGCACACGCGGGCACACATACACACGCGTGCACGTGCACCCACACCGCCAGCTGAATGCCACATGCCAGTTCCATATTTCACAGCACAGCTGTCCCTGGACGGAGCCCATGGAGGCAGGGGGTCTGAGGCAGCGCAGCATCAGGGAGAAATACCTGAGCCTGGGCGGGAGGCCTGGACCCAGGGGGCTGCGTGGAGGGTCCTGGCAGGGAGAGGGCCCGGGCCTGCCTGTCCTAGAGGAAGGGTTGGCACAGCACGGAGCCCCTCCCGGGCCCCCCCCAGGCACCTCCTCACTCCTCCGCCCTACCCTGGGAGCAGGCAGGGAATGGCCCCACCTGGTGTGCTGGCTGGGGCAGGGGGACAAGGGAGGGGAGGGCCCCCACAAAGGGACGCTGGTGACTCCCTCCCAGTTAGGAAGCAGCAGCCCCATAGCAGGTGCCCCTTAGCCACTCCTGGACCTGCCCTCTGGCTCCCCAGCCAGCTCCCACACACACTCTCATCCCAGAAGGGCCCCCCAAATCCAGCCAAGCTCAGGTGGGACGAGCCCTCTCCCAAGCAGAGTCCCAGGCAATGGGCCCAGTCCTGCTCCTGTGGGACCTGGCTGTCACCGCCTCTCTCCATCTCAGTTTTTCCATCTGTCAGTGGAGCCACCAGACCCACCAGGGGGTGAAGCCCTGAACCAAGTCACCCCAGAAGTCCCTTCAGAGCCAAGACCAGTGGCTGTGTCCCAGCATCCTCACCCCATGGGACAGCCCCCCGTGCCCCTGAGGCTGGGGCTTGGTGGGGTCTCTCCACCCGGCATCTCAGCTGGGGGCCTTGGGGCCAGGCGAGGCGAGGCGCTGTGGTGGAGCCTCCAGCCTGGCTACCCCAGTGGCCCGCCTGGTCTCTGCCCTTCTGTTCTTCACCCCCCACCCCACTCCTCATCCCTCAGACCTGGCCTGGGGATAGCCCAGGCTGGACACAGAAGGAGCTGGCAGGCATCACCAAGTGACAGGCCCAGGGCAGGCAGTGACAGTGTCAGCAGCAGCAGGGGGCGCCCAGGGGGTGGAGGAAGGGGCTGAGCTCTGTAGCCCTGGGCCTGCCCTCTGCCCAGCCCACCGCAAACACCCCCAATGGGAAACTCTGCCAGCTGCAACCCATCTCCCCAGGCTGGCCCCAGGGGTCACTCAGAGCAGTTATGAGGTCAGAACATTGGCGACTGGCTGCCATGTGCTGGGCAGGATAGCTGGGGGGCTGTGGTCTGTTTCCCCCTGAAGGGGGTCGGCTCCCCTGAACTGACCTTGTCCACCCCAACCTCCCCAGATGCAGCCCAGGCCTGCCCTGGGCCCCTCCCAGCCCTTCCCACCATGGCTGGTGCACACTGAGTGCAGTGGCCGCTCCCTTCTCTGAAGCCCCCTGGCCCAGCTGGCCGACCCTCCCTGCAGGCCCGGCTCCCCTTCCTGGGCCCCGTCCCCATCCGTGGAAGGGCAGCTGTGGCTGCAGCCCTCACCTGCACAGCTCCGTCCCCGTGTCCTCCAGCTCCTGGGGGGACAGGCAGGCCCCAGCTGCCCGCAGCAGCCCAATGACGCGCTGATGCCTGCATGAGAAGGAGCGTGCTGTCCACCCTGAGCGGCTTCCACTCAGCGCCAGCAGGGCCTCGTCCTTCATGTGGGGTCAGGAACTCACCCACCCTGACCCACAGCCCTTCCCTAGATGAGGGCTGCTCCCCCCACCCTTTCACCTCTCCATCCCTCAACACCCCCAGGCCAATGGGATGCACTCTTGGGGTCCCACACTTCTATTCATCCAGGGACCTTCCCAGGACCATCCCAGGGACCTGCAGGGAAGGGCCAGAACCTGAGGCGTCCCAACCCCCAACCCTCAGCAGCAACTGCATCCACGTCTCAAGGCCTCAGCGAGGTCTCCCCTGGCCCATCCTGAGGGCCCAGGGCACTGCCAGAGGTATCTAGGGACACCCCTCCCTGGAGGACAGTCGCCCCCACACACAGAGCCAGCCAGCCCTTCTGCACACACCTGCCCCAGCCAGGTCTTGACCTGGGGAAACTGAGTCGGTCAGGCCTGGACTCTGCCCTTGGGGGTGGATAGGAGACACAGGCAGATGAACATGACAGGGGGTGTTGGGCAAGGCCAGGAAGCAGGGCTGGCGGCCCAGAGCAGGACCAGATGTCTGAGTTTCTAGAGGCAGCCTGGCCTGGCCTGA